GATTCGAACCGAGGTCCTCTCCCACCACTCAGTTCCCATGCCACCAACTAAGCCACCACACTTGAGTTTTGAATTTATTTTCTTGATAAAAAGAAGTTAATTTTTTTAGAATTTATTTTTATTTTTTAAACCTTAAATGCATTTGGTGAGGATATAAAATAAAAAAGAGGGAAAATTTATTTTCCTCTTATTTATTTTTTATAATTTTTATTTTTAAACCACAAGGGTCTAAGTGAAAATATTTTTAACCACAAGGAGTCTAAGAGAAAATATGAAATCACGAGGGGTTAAATGATAAATCATTTAAGCACAATGGGTCTAAGTGATAAGTTTAAAATCTCGGGGGGTCAAATGATAAATCACAAAACCACAATGGGTGAAAATGAAGTTTACCCTATTATCAATTAAGTTTATCATTTTTTATAACAAAAAAATATTTCTGCAGTTATTGCAGATAAGTTATTTGTATTTACTCTCAAAATGACGTCGTTTTGAGATTGAAAGATTAAAAAAATATAATTATAAAGACTATAATAATCCTAAATAAATTAAAATTATAAAAACACCATGATTTCCGTCCCAAAATAATGTTGTATTGGACTTACTGCAGAAAAAACGAACCCTTTTTATAAGTTAAATAATGATGACTAAAACATAATGAAAAGAGAAAGTTAAGAGAGAGTGCAGAAGATCACAGAAGAGAGAAAAAAAAATTATATCATATGACAATCATTGATTTGATTTGATAAAAAATGATAAATTTAATTATTGATAAATATAGGCTCTCCTTCACATTTATACCTAAACTTGGGCTTTTTGACCCTTATGCCCCTTAATTAATAATTAATTACCAAATTGCCCCTCATTCAAAACTATTTCGAAAATTTACCCTCCCCAACAAACATAACACCAATCTGTCCCTGTTTGACCGTTGACCACGAAGCCTACCCGGGTACACCATTACCTACCCGGGTAAATTTTGAAACTTTTTATCTACCCGAGTATGTAGGGGTGTACCCGGGTAGAGTTCTTGAATCTGGGAAAATGTTTGAATTATTTACCCGGGTACGGAGCAGTGTACCCGGGTAAACATCGACGGTAGGGTTTTAAAATACCCCAGCAGCCCCATTTCGAAAACCCACAAAAGGGGTACCCGAGTAGAGCTGCTGGAGGAGTGTCATCTTGAGCGATTTCAGGCATAATCTTGCACTAATTCGTCTTGTTTGTGATCATCATTCGCGGACCTTGCAACCTCTCTGCCTTCTACCGATTGAAATCGATCAAAGGTGCATTTTTTTTTCAGTTTTTTCAATTATGTTATGATTTCTGTTCTGATTCATTGTATTTTCGTTTATATCTTTTGATTCTGTCCGAATTATTTTATCAATTTGTATGTCATACGCTTACCCTAACCCTAACCCTAACCCTGAATCTAACCCTAACCCTAACCCTAACCCTAACATGTATCTAATTTCTGATTTTGGTTATTTTTTCAGTTTAATAGTGTGACACAATGACCTCTCGACGCGTTTCAAAGCTGCCAGTGACCCATTCCGAGAGAAGAACCAAGAGTCGTCACGATGGGTCGTCATCCTCTCAGCCCCAGGCTGCTTCGAGTCAGGCTCCGGACTTGACGTTCGGATATTTGTTTGAGGATGACATTCCTTCACACGAGAAGTTCGTGAAGTTTTTCATGACCCGGAAGATCTGCGAACCGAAATCACTGGATTCGGCATTCTTCAACCTAGAGCGTTTTGACATTGTGCCGCTTCTTGAGCAGACACATTTACTTCACCTGGCGGAGATGCGGTGCCCATACTCGGAGGTTATGGTAAGAGCCTTCTACCAGAACCTTGGCTACTCGCAAGGCGAGCTGACTTCCCGTGTCTGCGGGATTGATATCATCATGACTGCTCCTATCTGGACGGAGCTACTGGGGTTCGATTTTGATGGTGTCACAGGAGCAGCACTATATGATGGAGACAGCCATCATATATTTGGTGATTATAACCGGGAGACCATTGTTACAGAGACTAGGAGGGCAGACGCAGAGCCCGGTCATTTTGCTCATTATCCTGTTAGCAACTTGTCAGTTTCTGCTCGCATTCTTCATTATGTGGTGACACATATTATTTTCCAGCGCCCGCATAATCACTCAAAGGTGCTGGAAGGGGACTTTGTCATCCTGTGGGCCCTCCTTCACAGTCAGCAGGTGAACTGGAGGCATTACATATGCATACTGATGTGGAAGGCAGCCAAGTCAAAGAAGGCTGAATTGCCTTTTGCATTTCTGGTGCAGAAGATTCTGCATAGATTTGGAGTGCCTATGGCAACAGAGACCTTGAAGACCGCCAGAGGCTGGAATGCTATATTTGGTGAGAGGCTCCTGAAGCAGTGTGGGATCCTACCGAACAGAGCGGGTATCTGGACGTGGAAGAAGGCACCAGAACCACCTGAGATCCCATTCCACCACGATGCTGAGATGGAGGATGCACCTGCAGGTGATGTGTTGGTCTTTATGAGTTTATGCAATTTTGTGTTGTTTAATTTTTAATGTGGTATTGAAGTTTGTTTTTCATGGTTTATGATGTAGGCCTTGATGATGATGACGATGATGATGGCGTTGCTGAGGTTGATGTCAGACCGACACGTCCCACCCGCAGTCGGCGACCACCAGCTCCTCCTGAGGGTGGATGGACACTTGATCATGTCATGGCATCCTTATATGATCTGACTACTGACTTTAGAGGATATAGACAGAGCACGAGCAAGTGGCGAAACCAGATGGACATAAGGGTTGCACGGTTGGACACAAGGGTTTCACGCTTGGAGGGTTTAATTGGCGAGGGTGCCCATACTCAGGAGGAGGAGGATGAGGATGATGACAATGGGGATGACACACAATCGGATGAAGAGAATGGGGAGGACACGGCATCGGATTAGTGTGTCCATAGGGTTTCATATAATTGATTTAGTTTGATGTAATGTAGTCATTTTGGTACATTTAGGAACTTTACCTACATTGCATGGATGTTTTTGTACTGGATGTTCAAAATTTGAATGAATGAAATTTTCGTTTTGCGCACGTTCAGACTTGTTGGTTCTATGCATTAGTATGAGACCTTGCATTAATATTGTCATAATTAATTTGGAAATCAATTCAACCCAAAGTACTTTAATTTTCATGTTCAACTTTGATTGGCGCACATCTTGATTACTGCATCCTATTTCTACGAAATCAATCCACCCCCAAGTCATACCGTATGTAGGTATTGCACAACAATTACCAAAATGCAACAAAAATTGCCAAAACAGCATCTGCAACAGCATCTGCAACTGGTCTACCCGGGTACCACGAACTAGTCTACCCGGGTAGGATGTACTCGGGTATATCATTACGAGTTACCCGGGTAGACCAGTTGCAGATGCAGTAGCAGATGCTGTTTTGGCAATTTTTGTTGCATCTTGGTAATTGTTGTGCAATACAATAACCTTAACTGACTCGGGGAAGGGGTAAATGGGTATGGTAGACATTCGGATTGCACAATACGGAACTAGTGACTCGCTAAACTTAACGGATACATTTCAACAACACAAGAATACAGTTCAACAAAACATTTCAACAACACAATACATAACTAATACAAGATAAAGTTTAGGGTTCAAGGAAACAAAACAATACGTAAAGTGATTGTCATTACAAAACAAAGTACTACACAAAAACAATACGTAATCATGCTTGTCTTAGTCTCAATGGACATGTACGAATGTTATGTCCAACTTGCTTGCAATGCTTACATCTGCTCTGACTGCTAGAGGGTTGAGACTCAACCCAATCCATCTCATTCTGAATCCTTGAAGACTTTGGTCTTCCTTTTGCACGTACCAACTGAGCATCCGGAATTACAGTAGGCCCAACAACGGATGGAATCAACAATTCATTGCCAATAGGAAACCAGTGTGCAGCATATACTTTAGCAATGGTTGGAATTTTGAAAACATGATCCACATAATCATAATGGTTTAGCTTGGCTACCTTGCAAACTGCTAATACATGACTGCAGGGATACCTCCTTGCTGTAAACCTACCACACTGACATGTACGATTGATTAAGTCCACTCTCATGATGTCACCGACCTCGTGTGTAGATTGATTGTAGGCATCCTCAACCTCAAACAATAACAGCTCACTATCATATATCCTCACACGATAAGTGCCAGCCAATTCATCATTTTTTTGCAACGCTGCCTCAACCTTCTTTGAAATTATCCAACCTTGTGAGATATCTTTTTCAATCCCTTCACGTCTCTTGACGAAATACTCAACGAGTCTACTGAATGTCATCTTGACCAATGCAGATATAGGCAGATTTCGTGCTCCACGAAGCACCTTATTCACACACTCAGATAGGTTAGTTGTCATATGACCAAACCTACGTCCTGTCTCATCATACGACCTGCACCATTGCTCTTTCGGAATCGCATCCAACCATGAAGCAACTTCAGGATTGTTCTCGATAAATTCCTTGTACCTAATGTCGAAATTTATCTTTGAACATGTGTACCCTGCAAAAAAACCATGACATATGCATTGGTTAGTGAATTTCATCAACGTTTTCTTCAAATGGTTGAAAGTGTGAGTAATTATACCGTACATTACCTAATTTCATCAATGTTTTCTTCAATTCCACATTCCTAAAACGGGTATTGAAGTTGCTTCCGATGTGACGTAGACAAAATACATGATAAGCATATGGAGGCTGCCACCCTCCGTGGTCTTTCACCGCCCTTATGATGCTTCGATGACGATCGGATATTAGACAAATACCATGCCTATGTGTGACATGAAAACGTAAAAGGCTAAGAAACCAGGACCAATCATCCAACCTCTCACCTGGAGGAACAACAACAAAGTCAATAGGGATGAGCTCAGAAATTATTTACAGTATGAAGTGGCAAAGAAGGGTCACATGCTTTCACATACCCCAAAGCAAAATTATTTACTCACCTGGAGGAACAACAGCAAAGGCAATAGGGAGCAGAAATCCATCTCCATCCTGAGATGTTGCAATCAATAGAATACCTCTGTACTTCCCATACAGATGAGTGCCGTCAATTTGAATTATAGGCTTGCAGTGTTTGAATGCTTCAATGCATTGGTGAAATGTCCAAAAAACCCTTTGAAATACGGCCCTGTCTGTATAAACCCGACGTTCATCAAAACATTGATTTGTATCAAGTTTGAACACAGAACCCACATTCACCTCCGTCATATACTTCAGCCAATTTGGCAAGAATGCGTACGATTTCTCCCAGTCACCAAACAACTTAACGATGGCCTTCATTTTTGCCTTCCAGGCCTTCCTGTACGTTATGTTGTATCCATATGTTCCCTGTATCCTCTCCTGTATCAGAGCTGGTCTTGTGGATGGATCTTCCTTTAACATATCTGGAAAAAAAAATTAACTTTACCATATTCTCAATTAATCTGAATCATTAAATAAACAGTAGAATACATACTCATTATAGCCGCACAAATGACATTTGAATCCAACTGTCTATGATCCTGTGCTAGGCCTTGATTTAGGCATGTGTGACCTTGACCCCATTTACGGACCACCCAGTTAGCTCCCTTCTTCGGCTTAATTGCCCTCATATACCAGGGACAACCGTCAGCATGGTTTTTACACTTCATAACAAATCTTGACTCGTCGCTTTTTTCAACTATGGCTGTCCTGCGCCCCTTCATACAATGTATTTTCACAGCATGTTGCAATTCTGGTTTGGACCCAAATTCTTGTTGCACAAATAACGGATCTCCTAACTTCCAACCTCCGTGCAAGTCATCATCGCCATATAGGATCTCCAACTCGTCATTAGGGTGCGCCCAGTTAATGAATGAATAATGTTGGCTTTCATTCCAGAATGGCTCCTCAGACCCTGCATCTAAAGATCATGTCAAATTTAATAACTTACCACAAATAATAAATTGTCTAAAGCAAATATTCAAATTTAATAACTTACCACTACTGACTGGGTCGACATGAAGTGGTGACAAGGCTGGGGTACCGAGACTTACGGCGCTCATGTCAGCCTCAAAATTACCGTCCACGTCAGTGTCTGACGAATCACCTTCTGGAATAGCACTTTCAGGTTCTCCCTCATCTTCGCTGTCCACATAGTCCTCGTCTTCATCCTCTTCATCCTCATCCCATGCTACCTGAGGAGGTGCAGAAGATCGTACAACTGTATCTTCTTGACCGGTACAGTGTGCAGTAGTGGTTGTATGCACCGGTAAAGATGAAGATTGTCCAACATCAACTTCAACATATATCTCAATATATTTTAATACTTTCCATTCAACAAACGCATCTGTTACGAACTCCACATCTTCATCATCATTTATATCGTTTCCAATGTAGTATATTGTATCCATATCCACTACAGTCTCTAACCTGGCTATCATGCGGTGGATGGAATGTATGCCTTCTGACCCCATTTTTTGAAGAATTCTCTCCTTCAGTTCATTGCATGTAGTGCCCACTTTGATTTTCATCGTTTTTGTTTTTCCTTCAAATCGGACACCGTTCGGACCTTCAAAATGCCTCCCATTGTAGTAAACAACTATAGGAACCAATTTGGGGTTTCAAAAACCCTATACCTCGCAACAATGGCCGAAACCCATACATATTGGGGTTTCTGGACGCGATTTACCCGGGTACACTGCTCCGTACCCGGGTAAATAATTCAAACATTTTCCCAGATTCAAGAACTCTACCCGGGTACACCCCTACATACTCGGGTAGATAAAAAGTTTCAAAATTTACCCGGGTAGGTAATGGTGTACCCATGTAGGCTTCGTGGTCAACGGTCAAACAGGGCAGATTGGTGTTATGTTTGTTGGGGAGGGTAAATTTTTGAAATAGTTTTGAATGAGGGGCAATTTGGTAATTAATTATTAATTAAGGGACATAAGGGTCAAAAAGCCCCTAAACTTGTGTTATATCAGCCAGCTAAATAGATTATTATTATTTTAATAATCCTACTTAAATAAGCCAATCGTATCTAATAATTAATCATTTTTATCACCAAATTCATACATGAATTTTTTAATCATAAAAGTTATTATGTA